AAATTCATATGAACATGAACCGACAATTCAGTTAGATTTATGATGGACCAACCCTAGCTTCTTGTTACGTCCATTTAAAGAATGGAGTATAACTAGCCATCAAGTCTATCGAGGACTATATTACATTTTTAAAATTCCATGAGTTATTCATGAATTAGTAGTCATATTCTTCTTTCTTTAGCTACAAGAGAAATATTAGACTTGAGTAAATCTTATATACACTAACGGTGTATACATTATTATGGTTGGATACACGACACATATGCAAAATTTAAGTTTCAAATTTAAATTCGGATTATTTGTCATGTATCTAATGGTGAAAGTATATACACTGTCAGTGTATAGAAGATTAATTCATTAGACATGAGTAAGTCTTATATACACTGATGATGTATAAATTATTACGAATACTATTGAGATATTCAATTTATTAGGTTTTCAGTAAAAGGATTCTTTTTTATTTTAGTGCCGATAGTAGTGTAATTTTTTTTAACATTAAAAAGTGTGGGAGGATGTGACACGTGTAAAAGATTTCAAATATGAATAGAGATTGTATGTCATGCATTTAGATCTCAGAGGGTTGAAATTTTAATTAGCATAATTGGAAATATAATCCTAAACAAAATTTGTTTACAATTATGTGTGTCTGGCTATTTTTTACGATAAAATTACGTTTTTCCATGAATATTTCTTTTTATATCTTTTCAAATTATCTTTTTATTTTACATACAGTATTTTTATCCCAAAAACTCTTGAAAAGTTGCAATCCAAATGACCTAGCGATTTCGTCTGCCAACAGCTTGGATCATGAATATAAAACCTCGGCTAGTAAAAGTATCACTTACCCTCTATATAGCATGACATTGTCTCCGTTTAACTTGCCTGTTTATTGAAATTTCTATTGGAATTCAAAATTCTTCAAACGCAATTTTTAACTATTTAGAATGATGAGAGGGGATTCCCAACAATTTTGACATCAGACAATTCATGACTAACATCTTAAAAATTTAAAAAATGCATATTAGATATTAAAAATTGACATCAGAAGATCCATGAATAATTTATTTTTTTCAAGTATAGTTCTGGGGTATGACTTTCTTGTTCTTGATTGCAAGTTACTTGAGGACAAAGATATCTTAATCCAACTGAGAGGCCTTTTTATTTTCTTTTAGATAAATTGTATAGATGATTCGTCAAGTAAGTGCTTAATGGACAATGAATAAGAGGGCCCTCACTCAGCCATCAGACTATTAATTTCATGAAAAAGTAAAAAAGTTGAATCGAATAAATATCTAAAAAAAAAACGCATGGAAATCGTCTGGTAGAAGGCGGATAAAGGTTTTCAACTTTCAAGTATAGCTTAAAAAAAAATAAAAAACAAACAAAGAAAGAAAATTCAAGTTTGAAGTGTGTCGAGATTAACGCTAGTGTTTTAAGTGTAAGGGATCAGGTGCGGTCTCACTTGTTGCGGGGCGCGGTGCACCACAAGAAAAAGGCCCCATCCCTCTCTCAGCGCCGACGATCCAGCCGTGCAGGACGTGACACGTGTGGGCCCAGGTACGCTTGTATGATGTCCCCATCCGTTATATATACGACACCAAATACACCGAAGAACTCAGGACCCACGCCCGCCTTTCTAAACCGCCCATTTCATACCATTAACTTTTCCTTTGGAAGATTACCTGATGTTTCTTTCACAAAAACTTCGATTTCAGCCAATGAAAAGAAATGTAGCCCTTGGTGGAGATGTGTAGTTTTATTGCTGCAAACGCTGAAAGTAAATATTATAGTGCCATGGTTCAGCAATTTCCTAACCTTTTTTGCTTTAATCATGTAGTTTTATGATTAACGGAAGCATAAAAAATGTCTGCTTGCTTCGTGATGCAGCATTTTGATGCTGATTATTGTCGATTAATTTGCTATTATCTCATTTCAAGCCTGTAATAATCACATGTACAACAATGTTCAGCTTCGTCATAGTTGAGACCTCCTTTATTAGTTGCTTCAAGTTATAGGCATTTGGTAATTTTGAAATTTAAGTGTTGAGTTATTATTTGCTCAAATTATAAAGTCTCTCTCTCTCACACACACACACACGCATATTTGATAATCAACTAAATTTGATTGCTAAATTAAAAATATCCTATAATGTGTGTGTTGCATTATAATGGGTGTTTTTGGCACCCTAATTTTATGAATTTTTTTATATAAATATTTTAATAACTATGTTTACAGTAATCTCCAAAAAATCATAATATTTTTAAAGTACACACCTCAAAACACTAGAAATACTCATGGATAGTACCAATAAATAAAACGTGTATGTAAGAGAGAAAAAGAGTGTATCCCTATTTGTGAAAATGTGCTTCGACAGAATAAAATTTTATCATTTTTTATCTGTATAAGAGCAACCATATTTTATACTTGGATAGTGTATTATTTGGAATAATTACTGCAGTACTTTTTGTAATGTGATGTATGTGAGATAAAAAGGTGATTGGGAATATAAAAAGGTAGGTTGAGAAATGTGTTTGTGATGCAAGCGAAATATTATTTGGAATAATTTTGGTATCCAAACACTCCCACTATGTGTTAGAGAAGAAAATGTACGTGTGTTGAGAGAAAAAAGAGAGGAAAAATTATGTATGCATTTCTGAAAGTGTGTGAAAATGATTATTTAAGTTTTACTATACGCTAGTTTCAAAATTCAATAAATTAAGTGATAGCATTTTTTTCATTTAAAAGTTTTCATACCAACTAAGTGGCTCTTAATACATTTTTTTTTTTAAAAAAAAAAAAGAGGAACTTTTGGCATTACAACAGTTTAATTAAAGAAAGCGTTTAACTTATTAACTTGAAGCGCTAAACGGTAAACAAAGGGAATGTCTCAGTTTTATACTCCATACCGAACGGGAAACTTTGGAATTAAAGACACGTATCGTTTTGACATCATTACTTAGAGGAAATTTACATAAGAAGATAATAATGGTAGCTCAATTACAAGGTGAGGAATGAAGTTGGAAAAGTAAATCATGTATCGTTTTGCAGTCGAAAGATTCCGCGTTTCCGATGAACCTTCGAGAAGAAAATCATTACCAGTTACAAGCAATAGTTTTTTTTTTTTTTTGAATAGAATGAAGAGCTCAAACAAATCTAATTGGTTTTTATTAGGTACGTTCTCTAGTAATTGAATAGTATCTTAATTCCTTAACCAATAATTCCCGTCATTAAAAAAAATAATTAAAACGTAGATTATGATTTTGTATCTTAAGAACCACAAGAAGCAAAAGAAAAAAAAAAAAGGTTTGTTCATCCCTAGAAGAAAATTGATTTTCCTTGGTATTCATCTTTTTCCGCGTAATGGTTTTCGTCATCTTAATTGACTGCCTACTTCACCATACACTCAAGCGATCAAAGGAGAAAAAAAAAAAAAAACAGCTGCATTTTGAGCACGGAGGATAGAAAATCTCAAGCTAAATATCAGGAAATTTATGCAGCAATTCGAAGACAGGTGTTTATTAGTGTGTACTTTCAACGAGTTGAAACGGGACAAAGTCAATATTAAAAAAAAAAAAAAAAAAGTCCAACAACAAACAACAACATTATCTATAGATGTGTCCTAAACTGCCTGCGTAATTTTTGCGAAATTCGACGCGTATACTAATTGGGAGTGCGCGTTCGTTGGAGTTAGTCCAAACGACGTTTTAATTGTTCTTTGTTTATAGCCTCCTTAAAAAAAGTTTAAAGCGCAAAGGTGAACGGTGGTCGAGAATGTGAGAGATATTTAAAGCAATTCCCAGTTAACACTCGGAGCCTACTGCCATTTTTTGCGTTTGACAATTGTAACGCAAAAACGTTTCTTAGTGCCACAAACTACAAACCAACAAACCAACCCCACTTTAGCATTAATTAAGAAGATTAACTGATTAAGATGGGATGGGATGGGACGGGCGTGAGATATTCTGCCCTCAACCCAGCCATAAAAATGCAATACTCTACAGTACAGACTGCTAATACACTACTAGTCGTAGCTTTTTTTTTTTTTTTGGGGTCAAAATAATACGTACTAGTAGCAGTAGTTAATTACTAGTAAGTCAGTCAAGAGAACTTATTACTAGTAGTTTCCTAAATTACCGGCTCCGGCCGGCTTTAATAATCTTAGCCGGTCAACTCGCCGGCAGCCGGCATTTCCACCGACCGCGAACTCACATTTACTAATTAATAAACAAAAGAGTTGAGTTGAAAAAAATACATGGGTTTGTTTGGACAAAGAAAATTTGCAAGATTTATTTCAGATTTTGTTTTGCTTGCATCATACACACAATTCCCAATCACCTTTTTATCTCACATACATCACATCACAAAAAGTACTACAGTAACTGGATCAAATAAATCATCCAAATAAATTCTTATCCAAACAAACTCACAGTTAATTTGTTTTCTTAACTAATCCAATTTAATATTTGTTGGCCTATTCTAATCTTGTTGCTTTGGCTTTAGGGGGGTTGAAATGTTGAATGAATGGAAACGCGAATGCGGAGCCTTTGATCAAATGTTTGTCTGGGGCATGATGAGAGAGAAAGTTGGAAAGAAAGTGAGATAGAATCTGGTGGGCTTTGAGCTGTGATTTAGCTGTAATTTTTTCTTTCTTTTTTTTTTTTTTGGGTGCTTATTTCTCTATCTCTCTCCTCACTCATTCTATCCCCTCACATTCTCACATACACAACCTCACACTAGTGCTGCCTCCCATAATCCCTAGAAAACGCCCTTCCATTCCACCGTCTCCTCCTTTATTTCTCTCTCTTCTCAAGCACCACCACCATTACCAGTAGTTGCCACCACCCACAAAAATCTCCAAAACCCCGATTCCCTCAACACCATTTTCTTCCCCTCTCCTTGATCTCTTCTTAGCTCCACCATCTCACATTTGAAGAAGACAACAGTACCAAAATAGCTGTGAAGCGAGGCTCCTCCAAAAACAGTAGACAATTTTCTTTCTTCAGCCTCAGATGTCTCATGTGAGATGAAGAAAGAAACTTTGTTTCACCTCAATCCTGTCCTATTTCTACTCTCATTGTTGATTCTCTTGCCATTTTTTGGGGTTGTTCATTCGGCCCAAATCAGCCATGGACCTCTGACTGATGCAGAAGCGCACTACATTAGGCAAAGACAGCTGCTTTCCTACAGGGATGAGTTTGGGGACAGAGGTGAGCTGGTGACCGTCGACCCAACCTTAACTTTTGAGAATCCAAGGCTCAGAAATGCATACATTGCATTACAGGCCTGGAAAGAAGCCATCTTATCAGATCCCTCCAACTTCACTGGGGATTGGGTTGGATCTGATGTGTGCAACTACACTGGAGTCTTCTGCGCTCCGGCGCCGGACAACCCCAAAATCCGCACGGTAGCCGGCATCGACCTTAACCACGCTGACATTGCCGGGTACCTCCCGGCAGAGCTGGGACTTCTCACAGATCTCGGTCTCTTCCACATCAATTCCAACAGGTTTTGTGGGACTATCCCTGGAACGTTCAAGAATTTGGAGATACTGTTCGAATTGGACTTGAGTAACAACCGGTTTGCTGGCAAATTCCCTTACGTCGTGCTCAGTTTACCAAAATTGATATTCTTAGACATAAGGTTCAACGAATTCGAAGGAACTGTTCCCCCACAGCTATTTGACAAGCCGTTGGATGCCATATTCATCAACCACAACAGGTTTGCCTTTGAATTGCCCGACAACTTCGGCAATTCGCCAGTTTCAGTGATAGTCCTGGCCAACAACAAGTTCCATGGGTGCGTGCCAGCAAGTATTGGCAACATGAGCAATCTGAATGAGGTTATTTTCTTGAACAACGCGTTCAGATCTTGTGTGCCGGAGGAAATTGGACTGCTCAAGAATTTGACTGTCTTGGATTTGAGCTTCAACCAATTGATGGGGCCATTGCCGGATAACATTGGTGGGCTGGTGAGTTTGGAGCAGCTGGATGTGGCGCATAACATGCTGAGAGGGTCTATTCCGCAGAGCATATGCCAGCTTCCAAGGCTTCAGAATTTCACGTTTTCTTTTAACTTTTTCACTGGTGAGCCTCCGACGTGTTTGGCTCTGCCAGCATTCGACGACCGCCAGAATTGTTTGCCGGCTAGGCCAGCGCAGCGCCCTGCTGCTCAGTGTAAGGCATTCTTGTCTAAGAAAATTCATTGCAGTGCATTCAAGTGTCATCCGTTTATTCCTACCTTGCCCCCTCCTCCTCCACCTTCACCGCCACCTCCAGTGCCGGTACCCTCATCGCCTCCTCCCCCGGTGCCGGTACCCTCATTGCCCCCTCCTCTTTCCTCTCCTCCACCTCCAGTTTATACACCCGCATCACCCCCACCACCACCTGTTTACTCTCCTCCTCCACCGCCAGTTTATTCTCCGCCACCTCCTCCCCCCTCACCGCCTCCACCTTCTCCTCCTCCTCCATCTCCTCCTCCACCTTCACCTCCTCCGCCAATTTACCCTCCGCCAATTTACTCACCGCCACCACCTTCTCCCCCTCCTCCATCTCCTCCACCGCCATCTCCACCTCCTCCATCACCTCCTCCTCCAGCTATCTCACCACCTCCACCTTCCCCTCCACCTCCTTCGCCTACTCCGCCATACTGTGTGCGCTCACCGCCGCCTCCACCACCAAATTCTCCACCACCTCCTCTATACTCTCCACCACCTATCCCCTACTATTATAATTCACCCCCACCTCCGCCACCAAACTCACCCCCACCTCCACCACCAGTGTACATTTACTCATCGCCGCCCCCGCCACCACTTGTACACTCCCCACCTCCCCCGCCAGTTGTACACTCCCCGCCTCCACCTCATTCACCTCCACCACCATCACCACCACCTTGTATAGAACCCCCTCCACCACCACCACCTTGTATAGAACCCCCTCCACCACCATCACCACCGCCTTGTATAGAACCACCACCACCTCCGCCATCACCTTCACCACCACCACCACCATATATTTATAAGCCACCACCATCACCATCACCCCCACCACCACCGATTATATACAATTCACCACCTCCACCATCACCTTCGCCACCTCCACAAACTTACTATAATTCACCGCCACCGCCATCGCAATCGCCTCCACCCCCAGTTCACTACAACTCACCACCTCCCCCATCACCATCACCTCCCCCGCCAGTTCATTACCACTCTCCGCCGCCACCATCACCCTCGCCGCCTCCCCCAATTCCATGTGAACATCCACCACCGCCTCCGCCAGTGATTTACGAGAGCCCACCACCTCCTGCTCCGGTATACGAAGGGCCATTGCCGCCAGTAATTGGGGTGTCATACGCATCTCCCCCACCACCACCCTTCTATTGATTCTTTTGAGAACTTTCCTCTAACCCAATCCTCGTAAACTCAAAAAGGGAAAAGGAAAAAAAAAATAAGGAGGACAAATATTGAAGTATTAGCTTTGTACTATTCATTCTTTCACTTCTCTGTCAATCCATCTTCGGAACTCGCACAAATACTTAAAATGCTCATCACCGAGATGAGAAAGCGGAAGCATTCTGTGCCGGGAAAGTGTAATCTAGCATTGAGAGGATATAAATTGTGTTATAGTCAAGCTGAGGAATTAGACAATGAAGATGGTGACCGGGAAAAAGAGAGATTGGATGAGGCGGAGGAGAGGTAAGAGGTAAAGTTCTCGCTCCCTATATTTATTTGATCATTGATAAAAAGAAAAAGAAAAGAGAAGTGGAGTTTGTGAAATAAAATTGGCAGAGAAGGAAAGCGGAGAGAGGTTAGTAGAGATTTGCAGGAAGAAGGAAGTTTTTCTTTTATCATCTCAAATGTATGTATAGAGATCATCGTCATCGTCATAATCAAATCATCAGGGGCAAGAAGCCAGAAGCCAGTAATATGGGTGTTGCTGCTGCTGCTGCTTCTGCTTTGTTGATTATTACTCTTATTTCTCTCTTGTTACTTCTTTTATTATACATTTTTTTTGGGGATATTTAGCCGTGTTTGATTCACAGTTATACTAGTAGTATAATCATAAACAGTTTACATTTGGATTCATTCTGAGAAACTAGACCCATTATTTTCTGTTTCTGGGCTCCCCTGTTTCTTCTTTCATTTTCATGTCGCTGAGACATGTATGTTTCAGCTGAACATTTGGAAAGCGAAGTGATATTTGCACTCCCAATTAGCCTCTACCACTCCTTGGAAGTGATATTTGCGCTCCTAATTAGCCTCTAGCATTCTTTGGAGGCATATTATTTAGTGAGTGAATTGAAGTATATAAGAGGTTAAAATGGGCGGCCGAATATCAATTCCCATTTCCATAGCTTCTGTTTATCGTCGGTGGAAGCATGTTTTATGTTACCATTACTAGCAGCGATTTTGGTCACTATCAAGTCTCTGTACTCTGGAAATGAAGCGGCTGAGGAAAACGAACCACCAAAAAGTACTTGGTCCAATTTGATTTGACGAGTTAACCAACCGATCTCGCACACATTTGGTTTACCATTAATTGATTTCGGTTAGATTAGTTAATGCATCAATTCTGGTCTAATTCGGAGACAGTCTAACTCCATAATTAACTGGTTCAGTTGGTTATCCAACCAACCAGTGATGTTGCCCTTTTTTTAAAAAAAAAAAAATTTTTTTTTCTGGATAGAAAGATTGAAAAGAAAGATATGGAAATTAGTGAACAAAAGATAAGAGGGCATTGCCTCCATAAACAATCATCTACCATGACATTACATGCATATCTAGCTAGAGCAATACGTTAGTTACATGATAAGGTAAGTGATCTTGGTTTGCACAATCACACGGCTTCACAGTAACTGTGAAGTAAAATTGTTGCAGATGCTAGACACCATCAACCAAGCATCCTGCCTACAAAACGAGTCATCAGATTTTAGACTTTGGCTCATCATAATACTAATAATAATCTTTTGTGAAAAATAATAACTTGGATGTAAACCCAAACTCAAGCAGTCATCTGATCGCACATTTCGCAGCATAAGCCTCAATCACGTTTGGAGCTAAAACATACTTACTATTATGAGATTTTCCTGATGGAACGTTGGCCATGCTAAGAAGCTAAAAATCATCATGAATCACTCAGTCGAACAAGGTCCCCCTACGATGATGAGGTACGTGTAGCTCATGCTTATGCTATGTTTTTTGTGGGGAAGTTCCGGGCGGGGGGGGGGGGGGGGCTAAATTCAACCCTTAATTGGGTCGACCACCTTTCCATTAATTAAGTCATTAATTCTAGGTTATCATTGGGATCTGAAGATTTGCTCATATTCAACAGAGCGTGTAAATAATAATTATGTTTCCTTCAAGGTCACACCTCCCCATCGGTTTACATTTCGGTTTTTGAAAAGAATTGGAGGGATCTCTCTGTTCACATTCACTCCGGTCGGGATGGATGGACAAAGCAGCAGACGTGGAATTCTTGGCGATGATTTTGATGAAGCCAGCGCTCAGAAGGCAGTGGTAGTTGCATGTATTTTGTCGCGAGACCCTGATGAGACCAATGAATTTATAATAGTAATACGACACAAATAACGGCATATCAAGAGTTGTATAATTCCATTGAATTTACGAACCCTTTCGACTCAGCCTTCTTTCTTTCTTTCTTTAAATATCAACAATTACGACGTAGTAAGATGAATTGGGAAAGCGGCCATGGGCAGAGAGCTCTTAGCTGCCTTAGTGCGGTCCTCCTGTTAATGTTAATAGCCTAACACGAGATCATTAATGATGCCGATTCGACGTGACACCCCATTTCAATTTTCAAAGTGTATCATCGTTTCGGGCTCTGATTTTCAAGGGAGGCTCCATAGATGACTCTGTCTTGCTGCATTTCTGATTCACATACATACATATCTTCATTGGTTGGGGTGTTTTTGCATGGGGTGGGGGTGTCTGAAGATGGAAAGAAAACCAAAGTATGATTCTCAAGTGAGATGGTAATTGCCTAAAGAGTTTGTTTATATTGGTCAATTTTTATTTTAAAAAAGAAAGAAAGAAATCTTCAGTTGCATTATGAACATGTTTTACAATCTTTTTTTTTAATTATATTTTTATTTCATATACATCAAATGATATAGTTATAAGTATTATAGTAGTATTTTTAAAAGAATTTTGGATAATCTTCTCCCCATACAAGATTTTTCCTTTTTCTTTTGTATAAATTCCTGTCACTTTTTCGGTGGAGTAACAAAATCGCCAGAAATGGTAACAGTTCGTAAATGTTTGGAGCGTCGTTAAGTTGGGAGGGGGGGGGGGGAGGACAAAAAAGCACAATTATAGCATTTTCACCAAAAACTTTCCAACTATTCTCATCTCAAAAGCGACAGTGACAAACATTAGGTGAGTAACAATTCTGAAGAAAAAAATGTAGGACGACAATGGGAAAATCCAATATTCTCCTTTCATCGTGCATTTGATTGCTTTCCAGATTTTGTACTCGACCACCACAATGCCGATGATTTGCGAATGGCATTTTTGTTGTACTTCCTTTTGTCCCTGAGGTGCTAGTGGTGGTAATCGTAATGATTGTCATCGTTTTAGGTCTAAATTGATTTTAAGCCTGCCAGCCACTTCTTAATCTTCTTCTACTCACACAAACCAAATTTTCTTTTCTTTTGCCACCCACTTCTATCTGTTTAACATCACTCCTCGCAATCAATGTGCCCAATATCATCGTTTCTCACGAAAGACAAGACTGCAATTTGGAATTCATTGGCTCAATTATTGAATGCCCTCCAAGTAAGAACTTCAAGCAACATCTGTGATTGATTGGATGTAGTACAAGCAGAACTAGATTCAGTAGTGTTCGAATTTTCTTTGTTTCTGTTATAACAGATGCACCAAAACAAGAGAACAACCAAGAACACTAGAACAATTTTGGGAGAAATCAGATTTTATTAGGGTTTGGAACGAATCAAAAATGTTTACAGAATGAATATAAGGTGTATATATATACAACCAAACGGACTGGACCCAAAAATAGGTCCAAAACCAAGATCTAAAATAAAAATATAACATAGTCGAATCGCCATAAGTCGAAGACCTGATTCAAGGCATCTCAACAGTTTCAATACGGAGCACAAAAGCATTTAGATACTTGTAAAGACCATATCCCAAATCACTAGAAGGAAAATTAAGCAGATATGTTTTTTCTGTTGTAGCATGGACTCTCGCATTAATTTATAAAATGATAAACTTAGACTATGCTTAAATTGCAGTTTTCTAACAAAGAATTTTTACGTTTTTTATAAATATATTTTTAATTATTTTTTTATCTCACATGCATCCAATAATTATATTACATTATTTTGATATAAAACTTTTGAAAAATCGCAATCCTAACAGGTACTACAGCTTGCAGGTGAGAAATCCCCGTTTTTCTAATCGTGCTTGTGATATCTGGAAAGTAAACGGAATCCTCCATCCAAAGAATATTACGTTGTGGAAGATAACCTTAGCAGGGAATGGTTCAACTTCGACGCAGTTGGATCGCATTTGGGTCCTTTTCTCGATCCTTCCTCCGAAACAGCATTTGCCATCAGCTAGCAGTACTTTTTCAATGCGACCTGTTGCTGGAGTCATCGTATAGCCCTTAGGCATTTTGTGGATTTTGAGCCATACAAATTGCAACTTCAATTAGTGCGACAACTTAGTCAACAACACTTAACTAAGCGGGTATACGACGATTATGCAAGCCTAGGCTTCGTTTTTTGAGAGGGAAAAAAAATGCATAACTAGCTACTATTTAGGTAGATATGTTTGTAAATCTTAGGCATGAATCCCATGCTAAAATGGTAGTATATGGTAAATGTGGCAAATGAAATGTCCGTCGTGACAAGATTATCTGTAAATCTCAACCCCCGAGGGCCCTACTACTACTATTAGTGCCTGAAATCACGACTGCAACTTGGTCATCCTGAAACCTGCAGTTGCCCCTTGGAGTTGATATTCAAAATTCTGATATAAAATGTAAAGTTTCTACTAGGACTATATTTTTTGTTTGCATGTTCTTTTATGGGATAATTGCAGAAACCTCCCCTGAGATTTTCGACACTAGCAATCACCTCCCCTATAATTTCTAAAATTGCACTAACCTCCCCTAGGAGGAAATTGGACCTATTACTAACAATAAATTATATGATATTACTTTTATACCCTAACTAATTGTAGAAACTTAATGAACGAATTTTAGAAAAGAAAATTTATATTTTGTCAGCAAATTGAGTGACTAATTGAACTAGCTTACCTGTGAGTTTTAGTATCATTAACCATTGTAAGCAATACTAAGAAATGGTGCCAACTAAGGGGAGAAAACACCGTACATATTTTCATATTATATTTTTCAAACCAATCAATTTAAGTCTAATTTTATATAATTGTAGAAAGGAAGGCCAGTAAGCAATTCTGAAGGTTTTATTAAAATAAGTATAAAAAGAACTTGCACAAATATACCTGCTCAAGTCATTTCTATTTCAAAATCTTCTCTAGTTTAGCCTACTACTACTTCTCAAATTGCTACATTTATTTCCATCAATACAATTATCACTCTGTAATATGGAAATATCAGTAGCAGCAACAGCAAATTTAGTACGTGATTCTAACGTACTTACTGCAGTTTTCATTTACTAAAAACAGCTTTATCTTATTCGTATGCACTTCTAATTACTTGTAACTAGATTTATTTCATGTTCAGTAACTTTTAGCGATGTTTAAGTATGCTGTTAATTAGCTGATTGTTCAGTGATATATATTTTTTTGTATATAATTGGTGCTGATAATATAAACAGTTGTGTTGCCCCCACAAAAAGCTATTCACATTACTAATAGAGAGTTTTAAAAGCGACGTGTATTCTTCATAAACTTTGCTGCAAGAACCTGGATATATAGTCATTTAACTAATCATTAGTATCTCCCGTTGCTTCATGTATTGTTGGTAAACCTCATTCAATTGCACTTACACCCCTTCAATTTTACTAATTCTTAATAGTTTTTCATATTTTGTCATTCCTCTATTAATACAACTTGGCAAGCAATATGAAAGGCAAATTTGATATAAATTTCTCATCTCACTCTTTAAAAATTTTTTGAACGGTAACTTTTCTGGCATGGACTATATTGGCAACACAGTCCTTAAGTTCAAGGGTGGTAAGTGCTATT